GGCCATCCGCGAGATCTACTTCGTCTTCCTCCACTGCGCCAGGAGCGCAAAGGTCCGCGGGCACGGGCGGGTCCAGAACCGTCAGAGGCAAACCCATCGCCTGCACGAGCGCTGGCGGCGGCACCACACCCTCGTCGATGCACTCCTGCGGGATGGCTTCGCCTGCGGCCACCGCCCTGGCCGCCACCTTGCCCATCTTGCGCCGCTCGCGCTGCCGCTGCCTTTTCGCCTGGCGCGAGGCGTTGGCCTGGGCAGGCTGCCCGTCCGGCCCATGATCGGGGTCCTCGAGGTCGTCTTCGCCAGCGGCCCCGGCTGTGTCCGGGGCGTGCTCCATGGAGGTCGCAGGCGCTTCGGCTGCAGCGGCACCGCTGCAGTCAGGCTGCGTGTCGACGACGGAAACGACCAGCTGCTTCAGGAGGGCAACCAAGTGCTTCTCGAACTCCACCCACGGCTTTGCAGGCGGCCGGAGCAGCTCTTGCCCGCGGGTGAAGCTCGAGTACTTCGCGCATGCCACAGCAGTACAGCTCGAGCCCAAACGACTACGGAGGATGGGGAAATCCAGATGAGAAGGGGATGATGCTGCTGCTGCTGATGATAATGATGCCGCTGCTGTTGATGATGGTGAAGGTGATGCTCGTACCTACGATGATGATAATGATGGTGATGGTGATGGTGATGGTGATGTTGCTGCTGCTGCTGATGATGAGGATGATGATGATGATGATGATGATGATGATGATGATGATGATGATGATGATGATGATCATGCTAATGGTAATGGTGATGATAAGGCGATGACGAGAATGATGAACATGATGATGCTGTTGACGATGATGACGATGATCAATATGATGTTGCTGATGATGGTGAAGACGAAACTGATGCTGATAATGCTGATGATGACGACCGTGATTGTGGTGATGATGATGCTGGCGCTGATGACAATGCTGATGCTGCTGATGTTGGTGACGATGATGATGACGCTGATGATGATGATGATGATGATGATGATGATGATGATGATGATGATGCTGATGGTGATGGTGACGATTATGCTGATGCTGATGCTGCTGCTGCTGATGATGCGGATGCTGATGATGAAAATGATAATGATAATGATGATGATGATGATGATGATGATGATGATGATGATGATGATGATGATGATGATGATGATGATGATGATGATGATGGTGCTGATGCTGATGATGCTGATGATGATGATTATTTGCATTACTAGGATTAGTACTATTATTATCGTTATTCTTATGATTATCCGCCAGCCCCCTTGTGGGGCCACCAGGCTGTAGGACCAGGGTTTGCTGTTCCCTGCGGCAGTTCCAGCTTTCAGTTTCCACTGTTACAATATTGCTTTATGCCGCTTACTGTTCTTTGTTGATGGACCGCGCGAGGGGGGGGGAGCCGAAAAATGTCCTGGTTAGCGTCTCCTGGGAGGGTTCTCAGAATTTCTGAGGGGGGGGCGTGGGATACGGAAAAATACATGACATTCGCGCCCCCCGAGGCCATACACCCTCATAAATTATGCAATAGTCGCGTCCCCGAGGCCATAAACCCTTGTGAATTACGCAGTATTCGCGTCCCCGAAGCTATAAACCATAGCAGAATACAATATTCGTGTCTCCGAAGCCATACACCATTGTAAATTATGCAATGCTTGCGTCCCCGCGGCCACACACGCTCGTACATTAAGCATTAATCACGTGCCCGAATCCATACACCCTGGTAAATTACACCATATTCGCGTCTCCGAAGTCACCAACCTGCGTAATTTACAATATATTTGCGACCCCGGAGCCATACACCTTTGTAGATCATACAATCATCGCGTGTCCAAAGCCGTACACACCCTCGTACATTACGCTATATTCGCGTCTCCGAAGCCATCAAATTTCATACATTAGATTCGAATTGCACTCTGTTCGCGTCCCCGAAGCCAAACACCTTGGTAATTTACGCTGTAATCTCGGCCAAGAAACCATACACCCTTGTAATTTACGGACGATTCGCGTCTCCGAAACACTGAGTTCAACACTATCATCCGAGTCGCAACTTGTCTTGCCGATGCTGCTTCACGGCGGCGCCGAGGCCTCATGATTTCGCTCTTGCATTGCCCATTATCCGAGAGAGGGGGCCTGCGGCAGGGGGGCCCTTATGGATCATCATTCTTATCATAACAACGGCGATGCCGACGACGGTGATGATGGTGATGATGATGCTGATGATGATGGTGATGCTGACGATGATGAGTATGATAACGCGGATGATGACGATGATGGTGGTGGTGGAGGTGTTGCTATTCGTGACGATATCGATGATAGTGATGGGATGATGCTGGTGATGGTGATGCTGCTGATGATGATGATCATGATGATGGCGATGTTGAGGTGATGACGATGCCAATGACGATGAACATGACGATGATGACGATGATGACGACGATGATGACGCTGACGCTGACGCTGACGCTGACGATGCTGCTGCTGCTGCTGATAATGATGATGATTGTGGTGGTGATAATAATGATCATGATACTGATGAAGGGCCGCACCAGGAAGGGGGAACCGCAAGTGTGGAGGCTGGATTTCGCCTTCAGCCCGCTGGCGGCCAGACCAGCCCGTTCTGAGTTTAGACCCTCGTGCAGGAGGCATGCGAAATGATGGCCAAGGAGGAGGGAACGGCGGACTTTCAGGCGCACGACCTCGCGCAGGTGCAGATATTTCCAATGACAGGTCTGAGCACGATCGGCTTCGAATCGAGGCCTGGGCCGCCTGTTCCTTCGGCTCTGGAGCGCGTGGTGCAGAAGCACCTGCGTGCCAAAATCAGCAGAAACTTTTCATCCCAAGCAAGGCCATGATGCACGGCCGCGGTCAGAGCGTGTGCATGCGCGTCAAGCCGACTCCTCTTCCGCCCGTCGATGTATCCGGGCTCCGACGCATGGCTGCACAAGGCAGCGAGCGCGCAGCAGCCAGATTGCGGAAACTACGCGACCAGCACGAATGATCGGGGAGGGTGGGGGTGAGTTGGTTGGCGCCAAGTAGCGGCGACTTCGAGGTATTGGGCTACAGGGTTCACCAGGAGCCAAAATTACGACTTAGTCGGGACATTCCTCCAACTATCGCCGAGAGCCGGCGTTACGACTGAATCGGCATGTTTTTTTCGGCGCTGCCTGGCGGGAGGGTCGGGAGTGGGATCGTTCTCGTGTGTAGTGCACAGCTGGGAATGCCAGCAAGCGTGCCAAGTCTCGAACGCGCACGAACTCCGAGGGAGGGGGTGGGCCCTAGCGCCACAACCCTCCCCCATCCGTTTCATCATATACAGGATGTTAGTCGGCCCCGAGCCGACGAGGGAGCCTGAAGAACATGTGTAGGGGTTTCCCTTAGCGTGCTGCAAAGTCCCTTCCGAACCATTTCCAAGCAGCCACGCTTATGCCCATGCGGGACTCATGGGCTGCCGACGGACCGACCCAAGAGATGATGATGATGCTGATGATGCTGATGATGATAATCATGGTGCTGCTGCTGATGATGATAAACTTTCTGATGATGCTGTTCATGATGATGATGATGCTGATGCTGATGATGATTGTGATGACGATGCTGATGGCGATGCTGCTGATGATGGTGATGATGGTGGTGATGATGATGCTGATGATGATAATGATGATGATGATGATGATGATGATGATGATGATGATTGTAATGGTGATGCTGCTACTGCTTCTGATTACGATGGTCATGCCGATGATCATGATGATGATCGGGATGCTGATGATGATGGTGATGATGACGATGGCGATGATGATGCTGATGATGATGCTGATGGTGCGGCTGATGACACTGACGATGTTGAATAACATGCTTGTGCTGATAATGATGATGATGATGATGATGATGATGATGATGATGATGATGATGATGATGATGATGATGATGATGATAATGCTATTGCCGCTGATTATGACCATGGTAATGATGTCAATGATGATGCTGACGATGATGATGGTGACCATGATGACGCTGATAACGGTGACGATGGTGGTTATGACGATGGTGGTGATGATGCCGATGACGATGATGATGACAATGACGACTACGATGATGACGATGGTTATGATGATGCTATTGCCGCTGATTATGACCATGGTAAGGATGATAATGATGATGGATACGACAATGATGATGATGGTGATGACGATGATGATGATGCTGTTGATGATGATGCTGATGATGGTAATGACGATGACAATGACGATGATGCTAATGATGATGATTATGATGATGATGAGGATGATGATGAGGATGATGATGATGATGGTGATGATGATCGTGACGATGCTGATGATGATTATGATGATGATGAGGATGATAACGATAGTGATGATGATGAAGATGATGATTACTATTATTGTAATGGGGATGCTGCTACTGCTTCTGATGACGATGGTCATGCCGATGATCATGATGCTGATGGGATTGCTGATACTGATGATGATGACGATGGCGATGATGATGATGATGATGATGATGATGATGATGATGATGATGATTCTGCTGATGCTGCTGGTGATGATGATGTTGATGGTGCGGCTGATAACACTGACGATGCTGAATATTATGCTTGTACTGATGATGATGATGATGATGATGCTGATGCTGTTGCCGCTGACTATGATCATGGTTATGAGGGCAATGATGATGCTGACGATGATGCTGGTGATCATAGGGTGGTTAGGACGATGGTGGTGATGATGCCGATGACGATGACGATGACGATGACGATGACGATGATGATGATGATGATGATGATGATGATGATGATGATGATGATGATGATTATGATGATGACAGTGACGACGATGATCATGATGATGATGGTGAGGATGAGGATGAGGATGAGGATGAGGATGATGATGATGATGATGATGATGATGATGATGATGATGATGATGATGATGATGATGATGATGATGATGATGCTGATTTGTTCTAGAACTTCCTGATGCTCCCACGAATCGATGCGGGCGCCCCTGTTCAAAAAGTCTGCATGCCAGTCAGCATCCTACCCAGCCAGGAATGGTACAGCAAATTCTGCTGCAGGCACCTAGCTTGGGTGTCCTGAGCCTTCGTGGTAGAGGCGTGAAGGTGCAAGGAGATTTGAGCGGGCACGGGATCCTCACAACTCGGCCCCTGCACCAACGAGACCCTCCTGAACGAACTGGCCAGACTGCGTGACCTCACCGGTACATGGCGTTGTTGATTCGGTCGATGAAGTAGGCCGGATTGGCCGGGAAGGCAACATAGTTCTTCTCGTACTTCTGGATGATCTGCTTCAAGTTGTCGGGGAGCTCGGGGTCATTCAGCATGTCCGACACCTTCTCCCACGGGCCGTGCGTGCCGATCCAGCCGGAGGCGGTCGGGAACATGCCAGGGAACTGGCGGTAGGCCATGATGTTGGCATTGTTGATGTCCACCTTGTTGCTGCCGCCCAGGTACTCGATGTTGACATAGTCGACCTCTGCCAGCGCTGGCGAAGCCGAAACCGAAGCCACGAGCGCCACCGCCGACGCTGCAGCGGCGCTGGCGGCCCTTTGCTTGTTGGAGCGCAGCCAGCCGACCACCACTCCAGCGATGCTGGCCACGGCCGCACCGAGCATCGCCCCAGAAGTGGTGCTGTCCGCCGTGGGCTCCTCCACGAGCTCCTCCACAATGAGTGTCGGCTGCTGCTGGACCGCCGAGGCGACGGAACGCTGCAGGGCGGCTTCGCTGGGAATCGGGGCCACGTATGCGGCGGCGGGGGAGGCGAGCAGGGCAACCGCGAGCGCCACGCGCGACAGGACCGCCATCAGGGGCCTTCGGAGCTGCTTGTTCCAGAGGGCACTGCTGGCTGGTGGCAGAAGGGTATTGTGCCGAAGCTTGAGCCAAAATGGCTACGGAGCTGCTGCTGCTGCTGCTGCTGATAATGCCACTGCTGCTGATGATGATGCTGATGATCATGACAACGATGATGTTAATGATGGTGATGGTGATGGTGATGATGATGATGATGATGATGATGATGATGATGATGATGATGATGATAATGATGATGCTGGTCTACTTCCATTATGCAGGCCAGCGAACGTATTTGCTGACTGGGGCCGAGGGCGATCGTCTCGCCAGCAGACGAGGCGCCAGAGGTTGACAGTGCAGCAGCCAAACTCGAGAAATATGTAAAGAGGCGAGAGATGGAGAGATGGAGGGCGGGCGGGAGACTTGAGCCGCAGTGGTTGCGGCACGCACCATTACAACGATCAGAACACTCAGCAAACACTCATGTTATCTGTTTCCGTTCGGCAGGCCAGAAAACGTTGTTGTTGACTGGGACGGAGGGCGGTCGTCTCGACAGCAGACGGGGCGCGAGAGGTTGACAGTGCAGCAGCCAAGCTCGAGAGATACGCACTTGGCATACTTGCAACCCCTGGCCACAGGCCGACAGCATTAACCAGCATTTACAGTCGAGGCGTTGACTTAAGGAACCCTAAATAAGGAACGAGGCCCCTTTTTCCCATAGGTTCAACCTCGATTTCCCATGGAAAACCTCAGGAAAACCCGAGGCAAACTTTGAAACAATCAAGGAACACCAAGCCCCTCCCCAACGAAAAGGGTTCCTTCCTCAGCGCCCCGACTGTACTGCAGGAGCAGTCTACCCATCTTGGCCTCTCGCAGACTCGAGGCACTTGTGACAAGCCAGTCCGACTCCCACTGGACCAGCGGGCGAGGATACGTATTCACGCTGAGGGCCCAGGGCTTGCCCCGATCGTCCTCCTCCTCCTCCTCCTCCTCCCTCCTCCCTCCGCCTCCTCCTCCTCCTCCTCCTCCTCCTCCTCGGCTAGCGCAGAGGTGCTGGCGTGAAGCAGGCGGCGACCGGAGCAGCTCCCACCGTGACCAGTGCACGGAGGCGGAACGCTGGGAGACGGCAGCCGAGCGGCCCAGACCCACACATCTGTAGGACGCAGGAGAGCCCAGAATCGAATCGATAAGTCGAATCGGCGATCGAAATTAGTCGGATCGGCGGAAATCGGCAGCCAGGTCGGAAGGAATCGGATCGGCTGAGATCGGCAGGCTTGTACGCATCCAGTGAGAAATCGGAACCCAAATCGGAATCCCAAGTCGAATCGAAGCGGAATCGGAATCCATCGAAATCGAATCGAATCGAATCGGGGCAATCGAAATGAGCCCGGTAGGACGGGGGTGCAGGCCGCCGTCCTGGCAGAAGCTTGCTCTGGCAGACTGCGCTGCGGGCGAACATGCATGTCCGAATGAGGCTCGAGGCGACGGAGCAGAGCTGCCAGACATTCGACTAAGATTAGCTCGGGCGTGTCCCCCTACATGGGGGAGCTTGTGCGAAAAATTGAAAATACCCCAACATATTCCCAAATAGCCCAAACATGCTCAACAAATCCTCCCCATACGTTTTTTTCGGGCTATTTTTGAATACCCCTCCTGTAGAGGGACAGGCCCGACTTAACACTAAGATAGGGGCCCTTGGGCGATTGCCGTCGAGGACCACGTTGGCGAGCGAAACACCCAGAAGCCCCGAAAGAACGAGCAGAAAGGCGGCCCCCAAGGCTCGAGGCAGGAGCGGCCCCCACATCCCCGGGACCAGGGACCTCCGAAGCCACCCCGAGATCCTCGGGCGCACCAGACCAGTCCAAACCTGAATGATTACACGTCGTTCATTTCTAATCGTGCTCATTTCTAATTGTGCTCGTTTCTAATTGTTCCTGGCCCCCTAGTGGCCAGGAGGAGGCACATAATAATTAAACATGAAAGGATCTTGGCCCTCCAACGAATCAAATAACTCTCGACGAATTAGAAATTCACAATGTGTACTGGGATCAAATCATAAGCCAGCACAGCCGAGTGACCGCGGGCGCCGAACAGTCAGCCACGATGCCGCGCCAAGGCCGATGGAACACGGACGAGGCCGCAACCGAGCAGCGGCCAAAGCGGCCAAAAGCTGGCGCGTCAGATGGCCGTCCACCTGGCGGTCAGAGGTGGTTTGTTGCACTTGGCCACGCTATGAGGCGGCCTGCCCCGGCGGCGCTGGCCACGGGAAGACCCCGCCCAGAGACGCCGCCTCGATCAGCTCGACAAGGTTCGCGTCCACCAGCGGGCCGAACGCCATCGCGTCGTCGTGCAGACGGTTGATCTCCTGCTGCAGCTTGGTCCTCTTCGCATGCCGCAGTAGCGAACAATCGGTGACCCACCTCCCGCGGTCCTTCACCTCTGCCAAGGGCCGCCGAGCCGCCAACAGGTCGTCGCTGGCCGCGCTGTGGCGCGGGGCGTACAGCGACGGCCGCGCCTCCAGCCCCAGGCGCTCGGCCGCCCGGTTGAAAGCGTCGCGGATCTCGGGCGCGTCGAAGTCCCAGAGCGCCGTGCCACCCGGGCGGGCGAGCTTCCTCGCCGCGCACAGTGGCCGCCGAGCAGCCTGGCCCAATGCCCCGCTCTCGTCGGTGATGCCCGTCTCGCCTGGACGCGCGTCCTCGCTTGGGTTGGGCACTGGGCCCCGCTCCCCGCGCGGCTTCCCCGCCGGCGGGCTGGGGGCCGCGAGCGAGTCGCCCTGCAAGCGTGAGGCCTCCGAGGGGCGCAGGTGCCCCGCGAAAGAGAGGATCGCGAACATCTCGCATGGAAGCTGGCCGAGAGAGATCATGGCGCCCGCGATCGCCATCGCCGCGGGGCGAGGGATTGGCAAACGCATGCGGGGCGGCTTCAAGTTCCCCCAGCCGCCCAGAGCCTCGCGCGCCCTCGGCAGCGAGCCGCGCGAGTGCCCCGGAGCGGGTAGTAGGTGCCGCGCCGCAGCCATCGCGGCTCTCCCAGTCGCCGCGTCGAGGCCGTCTAAAGCCAGGTGCGCCAGGAAGGCCGTCCAGATCGCGTCGAGCTCATGGGCCGTCGACCACTCCAAGCCCGTCCAGCGGCGCCAGGTGACAAGCCGCGGCGCGTGAGCCAGGTTGTGCTTGGCCGTCGTGTCGGTGAGAGCCGCCGCCTCCAGGAAGCTCAGCTGGCCGCGCCTTGGGTCCGCCGCGGAAGCTTGCGGGGCCAACCTCTGCCGAGCCAGCGGGCGCGAGGCGGCCGACTCGGCCGTCCACGCGCCCGCGGCGCTGCCCTTGCGTGGAGGTTCGCCAGCCCATCTCGGGCGCGCGAAGAAGCCGGGCCTCGACGGGGCATCCGACGGGTTGAGTTCTGATGGTGCCCAGAGAACGTAGGCCCCGCGGCGAGCAACGAGGAAGTAATCTGTCTTAGAGGCCTGGTCAAGTTGGCCGTGCGACCGCGGCCTTCGCCAGCGCTGAGAGCTAGAGCCAACTTGTCCACGAAGAAGAGGAGTCAGTGCCCATGCAAGGGCCCCGGCGCAGGAGGTGACGGAGGGCGAAATCCAGAGCATACCCCTCGGATTACTGGATGCTCTGATCCTGCCTGTGCACTTTGCTCGAGTGGGCCACCTTCCTGTCGGGCTCCTTAAGGATCTTCTTGGGGACCTCGGTGAAGCCGGGGTGCCCGGCCAGATCGCCCCGGGAGTTCTCGGAGCAATCGATGCCCCGCAGGCCCCGAAGATCCCTGGGGCCCTCTTGATCAAAAGCGTGCTGACGAGCATTGATGACGTTGTTGTTGAACCTGTGCCTGACCTTCTCAGCGAGGCGCCCAATGTGCGCGACAGAAGGGACGGGTAACGTGCGACGACAGACCCCGATGCCATAGCCCGACAAGTCCGAAGCGGTGACCTCGGGGGCCCACGGTAAGCGCCAGGAGCTGGCCTGAAGAAGCAGAGTAGCTTGAACCCGCTGGAGCTCCCTGCGGACTCTCATCCCAGATCTTCATCGGTTCGGGTGCCCGAAAACGGGCGAAGGTGGCCGACGTCGTCGATGAGGTCTCTCTCTCCTACTCGACATGGCCCGCGTGATGTGCCCCGCCAACGTAGGGGGGGCTCGGGGAAACATTTGTCCATGACGCAGTGCAGTGCGAATTCCGAGGCGCAGCCGCGCCGGACGAGCGTGAGGCGCCCTCATGGTGCCTATGGTCCCGTTGAACTCGAGGCTTGTGGAGATCATCGAAGTGCCCGCTTCCTGCGCCCTGTGCGCGGGTTGGCGGTGGCGAGAGACGGCCTCCGCGATTGCCTGCAGCTCGCGCTCGGCGAGCTCCTGCGGGCCTACCGCCGCGGAAGTTGTCAGCGTGGGCGGCCGCCAACCAGTCATCGGTGTGGCGCAGGAAAGCCGACGGAGACCCGTCCACGATGATGCGGCTCTCCTGAACCGCCGCGTCCCGCGCCGTGATGTTGGTCAAGGCGTCCCGGCAGAGGTGCAAAGCCCAGTTCCACCCCGTGGGCGTCGCTAAGATTTCAGATGCCACGTCAATGTCCAGCCCCATGGCGTCCATGCGCGGCGTCCGACTCGTGATGCATGGCAGGGTGAAAGCGCACGAAATATCCGAAGGCAGCTGCGTGTGGTCAAAAGCGCACTGTGTGTCCGCCGACGCCACGTAGCCATTGATGTCAAGACTGATCTCCAGGACCGCCCATGATGCGCCCGACGGAAGCACGGTGCCTGCGGGCTCCACGAAGGAGAAACAGCAAAGCGCATGTCGAACGCCATGCTCAAATTGCCGTCCTTCTTGGTCACGAAGAACACTCCCGCTGAAGGTTGTTCCCGCTTGCGTCGGGGTCGGAACCCGAGCGTCCTGGCCGCGCCCAGCCGACGATGAATGCCGGCGCATCGGTCGGGGCAGCCGACGGGAAGAGGATCGACGTAAGGCTTTACAAAGTCCAGTCTTTCTGCGCCTGGCGTCTTCCACGGACTGGGAGACGCGCGTGCTCGTCCTCCATAGCTCTCGCCGATGCGCGGCGGCCGCGCCGCAAATATCGCCCAATGGTGTAGGGGTCGTCCCAGCAGCAGGCCAGGGCACGAGGTCCTCGGCATAGGGTCTAGCCGTTGTGTCGTCTTCGCAATGCCCGGGCGCGTGTCGGAGCAGCTCTTCGAGGGGGGCATCCGAGGTGGCGTTGCTAACGGGTGTGTCGGCAGGCCACAACGAATAATTGAACTAATCCACAATGTGCTCCACCGCCCGCCTCTGCTGAAGGTTGGCTGCGCTCGCTGGTGCCGCGACCTCGTGCCCGCAACTGCGCTGGCCATTGTAGTCGTTGAGGCTGTCCGTGCACTCGTTGGCCCAATGGCGCGGGGCAGCCCCTCTGTCACGCCGCGCATGGGCGCGTCGTGAACCGCTGAGCTGTCGGCGCCCATCAACCGCGAGACGAGGGAGTGGACAGAAGTTGCGCTGGCGCTCGTCAGAGTCGGGCACCATCGCGAAGCCGTGCAGCTCCAGGCCAAGCAATCCCAGCGGCCTCTGATGGGGGGCACGCCGCAAGGATGCGAGGCGCCGTGGGCCATTGACGCAACGCCCGCTCCGCGCGGGCATTCCTGCGCTCTTTAGCCGCCGCAGCCTCCGCGTTCAACTCGTCCGCGATCCACGTGCTGAGTAGAGGGTGCTCGCGCGCATTCCCTCGGCTCTCCTGGGCGCCAAGGAACAGGCTGTTCTCGACGCGGTCATCCAGAACATGGGTCTTGTCCTTCTCCTTCTTGCCGCAGCCCTTCGGCCTGGAGGTCAGCTCGACAACCTGCTCCTTCAAGAGCTCTGGAGGCGCCTCGCCGTCATCTCCAGGTGAGCGAGGTCTCCAACATTGAACCTGTTTGTAGCGCACCGCCAGCTCCAGGATACGACAGAGGAGTGCATGCTCACGCGTGGGCGGGTCGTTTTCAACCATCCGCCACTCGGCCATCCACTTGGTGTGCCAAGCGGTCGGCGACGCAGCCTGACGCTGGATGTACGCGCGCGCCCAGGCGGCCGTCCGCGGGCCTCTGACAGGCCAGTCCCGCCAGCTCGTAGACGAGTGGGGCATCGTACCGTCGCGGAAGTCCATGTGGCGGTCGTCGCGGACGTCGATGCACGCAGGGTTGACTCGCAGGTCAGCCGCCGCTGCAGGAGCCGCGGGGGCAACAACGGGAGCAGCGAGGCCGCCTCCAGCTGCTGCCACAGCTGGCGCCACGGCCGCCGTCCCAGCTGCCAGCGGCGCGCCCGCGGCGGCGGCTCCGCCCACGGCGGGCGGGGCGGGCAGCGTGAGGGCCCCAGGCGCGGCGGCAGGCGCCGCGCCTGCGTCCGCCAGCGCCGCCACCAGGTCAGGCATCGCGATGCCTCCGCCAGGTGCTGCCACCGCGGCGCCTGCCGCTCCCGTGCCCGCCGGCGCGCCTGCTGGGGTAGCGACTGGGGGCCCGATTGGACCGCCCAAAGCGCCTGCAGGCGGGGCTGCGGGGTCGACCACCGCACGGTCGCCAGCAGGCTCGCCACCAACGTTGCCCGCCGCGGGCGGCATGACGGCGGGCCCAGCTGGGCGAGGCATCCCGAACAGCACTGCCGCCTCCGAGATGGCCGCCCACGCGTCGTCGTCGCTCGGCACCGCGCGGAACCCATTGACCCGGCGGTCGTTCTCCCTGGCCAGCAAGCATGATGACTCCTGCGATGTCGGCGTCGGGAGCCCCGCCCTCTTCGTACCGATCCCCCCGTCTGGAGTGATGACATAGACTGATCGCCCAGGCCCGCGCATCACTGTGAGCCTTTCGTGCCACACGTGAGCTCCAGCACCATGATATCGGACGAAGGTTCACTGAAGCTGGCGTGCCATCGTCACGAGCAGATGGCCTTGCGATCACGAGCTGCCCGAGCTTGGGCGCGGGCCGTCTCCTCGAAACTCCTTGCAGGCTCTTCTACAGCACGGCTAGTCTCCGCTCGGCGAGCCAGCAGCGACCCGCCAGCCCCACCAGTGGCAAGCCCGACTATCAGCGCGGCCGTCGAGCAGGCCAGGACGAACCCCCAACACGAAGGCTCTGGAACCTGCCCACCCGCGCCCGCACAGACACAGGAAGGGATCGCGGGGCAGGTGAGCTGCGGCACGCACGACCCACAGCTCGGCGCGGCCGCTCGCGCCACCACGGAGGCTCCCACTGCCTGAGCCCCGCATCGCAGGACCTCGGGGAGAGAGAGTGGGCGATATCTTGCATGGGAGCCGCAGAAGTTAAGACTTGAGCCTCAGTGGTTGCGGCACGCACCATTACAACGATCGAAACACTCAGCAAGCAGTTATATGATGATACTGCTGATGCTGATGCTGATGCTGATGCTGATGATGCTGCTGATGGCGATGGAGGACAAGAAGGCATATTAGAAGGAAGAGAAGGATGACGAGGACAATGGAGAGGGATGATGATGATGATGATGATGATGATGATGATGATGATGATGATGATGATGATGATGCTAGCGATGATGATGATGATGATGATGATGATGATGATGCTGATGATAATGATGATGATGCTGATGATGATGATGATGCTAACGATGATGATGATACTAATGATGATGATGATGATGATGATGATGATGATGATGATGATGATGATGATGATGATGATGCTGATGCTGATGCTGACGCTGACGCTGATGATGCTGATGCTGATGCTGACGCTGACGCTGATGATGATGATGATGATGATGATGATGATGATGATGATGATGATGATGATGATGATGATGATGATGATGATGATGATGATGATGATGATGATGATGATGATTACGAGGAGGATGAGGGAGGAAAGAGGAGGGCAGGAGGAGGATCAGCAGGATGGAAAGGAGAAGGAGCAGGGAGGAGGAGGAGGAGGAGGAGGAGGAAGAGGAGGAGGAGGAAGGGAGGGATGGAGAGTGGGAAGGGGAGGAGAAGGAGGAGCCGCAGGATGGAGGCGGATGAGGAGAGCAGCAGAAGATTGATGAGCTGGAGAAAAGGGGATCATGACGATCGGGAGGAGCTTTTGTTCCACCCCCTGCGAGCGCGCGTCAGACACCCGTGTCGCCCAACGCGCGGGCTCCTGTCGACATAAGCCCGCGGATCTGGGACAGGCCATGGGCAAAAAGCAAGCTGGGGAGACCACACAGGCTGTGGAGCATGATCATAAGAACAATCAGCGGCACGCAAACAAAAGTCTCGAAGGAACGCGCAGATTTCTTCGGTCGGCGCTGGGCACCCCTCCCCGGAGCGCGGAGCGTACCAGGGGCGGAGCCGGAGGCGCCGCCAGGGGGGGGGGGAGGTTCAGCGCCGACCCAATGCGCGCGGACGCCCGAGACTTTGTGATTCGTGCTCGTTGTTTTGTTCCTCGAGTAGGGGCAGCCCTCACCACTGAGCGGAGGAAAACTAGAGAGCAAGGCGATGGGATCAGGAGCGCAAGGGACGCGGCGAGCCACGCGCCGGGAGTCGCAGGCGGAGCCTGCACGTTACAGTGGAGGCCAGTCCACAAGAAACCTTCCACAGGAAACTCAACCCTCAGACCCCAGGACGTCCACTGAATTTTGGTGTGGGAGCGTCACGCTTCCCACGGCAAAACCATCGAAACCCAAGAAACCGAGGGCATCCTGGAGGCCAGCAGGGTGCTTCTTGGCATGGGCCCCCACCGTATCACAACTCTGCCTGGCCAGGGCGGCGCAGGCCAGGCGTGGTGGCAGTGGTGTGCAGGTGCCTCCTGCTGCAGAGAGCAGGAGACAATCGGGGGCTGCTGAAGGCGCCCACGGCCCAGGGTGCCCCCCTCCAGCTTCTCGCTCCACTCTGGAGCCCCTGGGGCCCCCTGGGCCTCGTGATGGGGTGCTCTGGAGGCCGTCGGGGCTTCCTTGGAACCCCTGGGGCAAATTGCCGAGGGCACTTCTAGCAACACCCGTGATCATGACGCGGCGACGTTGCTGGAAGGCCAAACTACGCCATAAAACATAAACTCTTGGAGGTCCGCAGGGGACTTCTTGGGCCGGTGCTGTGCCCCGAGGCGGCTCGGGCGACGCAGCTCCAGCGCGCTCTGCGCGCTGGGGGGGAGGGCTCGAGGAGCGGGTCCAGCGTCGACCCGAGAAATCCGCGCGGACCTCTGGTGAGCGTTTTTTTATTCGGCGCTTCGACATTGGGCGGAAGGGGAGGGGGGAGCAGAGGGGTTTGGCTCCGGACCTCTGCTCAGTGCGACAGTTCGCAAACAGTGCGTCCTGTGGGGGAGACTCCACCTGCTTGAAACAGGCGCCAGAAAGAGTCAATATCTACTCCATGGGGGGGGAGGGGGGGGGATGCGAGGGTGCGCGCCGATCGGCAAAACACTGAATAAGAAAACGATCACCTGACAGATTATGCTTGCGCAGTGTCGTTTCGTCTCCGCGGCACGACCCCTGCAGAGCGCGACTCCCTGTCGGGTTCGTGTCGTGACGGCCCCAGCGTTGGTTTCTGACACCGCGTGGATCGTCCCACCCCGAACAATCGGCGGCCTTTCTTACCAGCCTGGAACATATCCCTATCCCTATGTTGGGCATCGCCTTATCACGACGGCGATCTTAGGGATTTCCTCAGTTTCTGAGGGTGTATCCCTGAGATTGTCATCTCCTTTTGGCGTGCCAATCTTAGGGATAGGGATAAGTTCGAGGCTGGTGACTGTCGATCGCCAGATCACTCCATCTTGGCGGATTCTGGGCCAATGGCGGCGCTCCCTGTGGCGGGGTCGCTACCACGTCGACGCGGCACGAACTCGCCGCGTGTCACTTCCACGCCGGCACGCGGGCGCTGCCCGCGGAGAGGAGCAGCATCAGCCGCGGCCGCGGTGGCGACCGCGGCCGCCGGGCAGCAGCTGCAGCAGCGGCCGCCGCGGACGGGCCGTGACCGGGCCGCCCGCGGCCACCGCTGCTGCAAGCGGTGGGCCACGCCGGGCGCAGCCGGCCGCGGCAGCGCCCGCGGTGCCCCGCCCACCGGAGGAGAGAGCTCCTAAGCGAGGCTGGTCCCTCACCCGGCCCTTCTCGACAGCAGCCTCCTCTCGAGCTCCGCGATGCGCGCGTCGCGGTCTGCAAGCAGCAAGCGCATCTCCTCCAGGTCGACGTCTCGGGCATCGTCGTGCGCGGCCGCCGGCTGCGAGGCGTCGCTGTCTGGGGGCGCAGCGAACAGCTGGCGGCAGTGCGGACAAGTGTGCGCCATGGCCACGGGCACCGTGACGTACGTGGGGATCCCCATGCCCCCGCAGGGGTGCATCCCATAACACGCCCCGCCGCCACTGGTGCCCAAGCAGCCGCCGTCGCAGCCGCCGCCATCTCCGAAAGCGGCTGGCGGCAGCATGTGATACGCGCCATCCACGGGCGTCATCGGCGGCGAGGGTGTGGGGCACCAGGTTGCTCTGGGCGTCGGTGCGTAGCTCGAGGAGACGCTGGCGACGCTGGCGTCGGGCCACCGGTGCTGTGAGATCCGGGGCCCCGCGCCGGCGGGCCCTGTCGCCGCCCAGAAGTCGGCACTGGCGAGCATCGGGGTGCCGGCGTCCTCTTCGTCCTCGTCGTCGATCTCTGGAATGGGCGCCCACGCCTGCGATAGGCCGCCGGGCGCCCTCTGCGCAGCGCTTTGTTGGACCGGCTGGCCCTGCAGGCCTGGCGGTGGCGCGAGAGTGCGCCCTCGCCCCATGCCGCGGCCAGCGTCCATCGCACGGCCCCCTCCGAGGCCGCGCCAAGGCTCCTGTGCAGCCATGCCCATAGGCCGCCCTCGCCCCACGCCCCTGCCGCCGACTACATCGCCACCAGCCTCGTCTGCGGCCGTCAGGCCGAGGCCCTCCTTCTCTTGGGCCGTCTCCACCTTGGCTGGCTCGTCAGTCGGGTCTGGCGCCGGCAGGGTCATGGGGCTGCCTGGCTCCGCGGGAGATGCAACGAAGGTGGGCGACACGGAGATCTTGGCTGGCGCCGTGCAGCTCCGCGTCAGCTGGGTATCAACGAGCTCCAGCTCCTCTTGGGCCACGGTGAGGGCGAGTGTGTCTAGCGCATCCGCGGGCGGATCCAGGACCGCCACTGGCACACCCATCGCCTGCACGAGTGCCGGCGGCGGAACCACGCCCTCCTCGATGCATTCCTGCGGGATGTCTTCGCCTGCGGCCACTGCCCGGGCCGCCACCTTGCCCATCTTTCGCCGCTCGCGCTGCCGCTGCCTCTTCGCCTGGCGCGAGGCGTTAGGCTGGGCTTGCTGCCCGTCTGGCCGTTGATCGGGGTCCTCGAGGTCGTCTTCTCCCACTGCCGCATCTGTGTCTGGGCCCTGCTCCAGAGAGGCCGCAGGCGTTACGGGTGCAAAGGCGCCGTTGCAGCCAGGCTGCGCGCCGACGATGGAGAGGACGAGCTGCTCCAGAAGGCCAGCCAACTGCCTCTCGAACTCCACCCACGACTTCGCGGGCGGCCGCAGCAGCTCCGGCCAGCGGCCCCGCGGCTTTGCTGGTCTGGGGGCACGCCCGCCGGCAGGGTCGCGGATGATGTCGAGCACAACAGCTGGGCCCTCCGCGAGCTCTCTTGGCCACTTGACGTGCTTGTAGACCTTCTGGCCCTCCTCCACGCACCCGTCGAAGAGCATGGTGGACAGCAGCGGCAGAGCCGAGCGGTCGAAGGGGTGCACCTCGCCCTTGACACCGACCTGGCGGGCCTGGTTTGCTTGTTTTTGCTGTTGCTGCTGCAGCTGTTGTTTACTTCTCATCTCCTAAGAGCAATTACTGCTGATCCCTCCGACGGCCGTTGTATAGTTTCAATGAAAGTGCTCCTCCTGGGGCTCGCACCCGTTTTTGTTCAGGGAAGACCTGTGGTCACCAAACTGCGCCCCTGTCCCCCGGCTTACAGCAGCAACAGCAACAGCAACAGCAACAACCACAACACTTTTTCTAAGACTGTTCGCTCTTACTTGCCCGCGTGTCATTCAGAACGAGTCCCCCACACCCTCGATAACTACTCGCCCTCTTTGTCTTCGATCACAGCCCCGTTGGGGGGATTCTTCCTCTTTGCGGGGGGCGGCGGGCGTAGACAGGCGGGCAGACCTGAACGGGCGGACAATCCTTCGCGGGCGTACATGTGCCCGCCATTGGAATTGGTGTGGGCCCTGGAAAACAAAGGAGGGGGAGAACGAGGGGGAGTGGGAGAAGGGGAGGGGGAGGGACGAAGGAAGAGGGAACACGCCAGGAGAGAAGGAACGAAGAGGGGCGCGGTTGATTAGAGGCAGGGAGAGAGAGAGAGAGAGAGAGAGATAGAGAGAGAGAAAGACAGATAAGAGAGGTAGGGAGAGAGAGAGAGAGAGAGAGAGAGAGAGAGAGAGAGAAAAAGAGAGAGAGAGAGAGAGAGAGGAGAGAGAGAGAGAGAGAGAGAGAAAAAGAAAGAAAGAGGGAGGGAGGAGGTAGGAGAGGGGAGGGAGAAGGGAGGAGGGAGAGGAGGGAGAGGGGATGGGGCAGAGAGACATAAGGATGAGGGAAGAGCGGAGGGAGAGAGAAGGGAGGAGAGGAGGGAGGAGGGAGTAGGGAGAGGGAGGAGGAGCAGGAAGGTAAGAGCGTGAACGTTCGAGGGAGTCCTAGGCGAAAGCGCCGTTCCTGAAGGAAGTCTCGGGCGGGAGCCCACGACGGGCGGGCGATCCCATGACGGGCGGGTCGGGCGGGTGGGACATTCAAGCGGGATGTCTGAATATGGCGAGAGCGCGATTACTAAGTAAATTGTAATGGCGTCCTTGGCGCAGCGTGTTTCCTGAGCGTCGAAAGCGCGATTTCTGAATACATTGCATGGAAGTCACAGGCGAGAGCGCAATTCCTGAATCAAATGTAAAGGGTTCTCTGGCGGGAGCGGGGGTCTTGATTGAATTGCGAAGGAATCTTGATTCAATTGCGAGGTAGTCTCAAGCGGGAGCGCCGCTCCTGAGTAAATTGTGAGGAAGTCTCAGATGGGAGCGGGGGTCCTGATTAAATTGCGAAGAAGTCACAGGCGGGAGCATCGATCCTCAGTAAATTGTCAGAAAGTCTCAAGAGCGGGGGTCCTGAGTAAATTTGGAGGGAATCTCAGGCGGGAGCCGTTGTTGTTGTAGTCCGGGGGGCCAGGGGCACAGTTTGAGCACCAAGACTTTCCCTGTCAAGAAACAGGGTGCGAGCGTCGAGGGGCACACTTTGATTGAGAAAAAAACAGTATGCACCGGTGAGGGGGGATCAACAACAATAATTCTTCAGAAGTGAGAGTTCAACAATAACGACAACGACACTTATTTTAAGACTGTTCGCTTTCGTCTGCTCGCGTGCCACTCATCACGAATATCCCGAACCCTCGATACCCGCCCTCTTCTTCCTCGACCGTACACCTTTGGGGGTATATCTTTCTTACCTGCAACGTGCATGTCGCGCAGCCCCTGAGGCAGGGGAAAAGAGGACAGATGGAAGAAAAGACAAGGGGGAGGGAGGAGGATGGAGCGGGCTAGGGGCATAATACATGTGGCAGAACCGAGGAAGCGGGTTGCGCAAGCGTGCGTCCTGCATGAATCGCGAGGAAGTCTCGAGCGACAGCTCGATTCCTCACTCAATCGTGAGAAAATCCGCAGCGAGAGCGTGACGCCTGAATGTCGAGGGCGCGGTGTCTGAATACATGTAGAGGAAGTCCCACGCGAGAGCACGATTCCTCAATAACTTGTGAGGAAGTCCCGCGCGAGAGCGCGATTTTGGAATACATTGTGAGGAAGTCCCCGGCGTGAGTTATTGTTGTTGTTGTTGTTGAACATTATTACTTCTAAAGAATAATTATTGTTGGGGCCCCTGGTGCACGGCCCCCTCGCCGCGCCTAGGCCGCAGCCATGTTTTCATCATTTTCGTGAGGAAATCTCCGGCAAAACGGGTTGGTCCGGATCCGGTTGTTTTGTTCCCCCCCGCTTTCCCTTGCAAAAAACAATATAAAATGACATTTCTTGTTCTAACATAACCGAACTTCAATAATCCCTTGCAACAAATAAACTAAAATGTACATTCGCGCGCGCAAGACGAAATCCTTCCAAAACCTTTGTTTTCGTAGCGATTTTAACATAAAAACATCAAGAAACCAATGGTTTTTCAAAAAAAAATGTCAAAATTTCATCCCGCGCGCTCTTGCGGATTCGTAGGGAACCCAACACTTTTTCAACATTTCTGTCAAATGGGCTTTTGCGAGCAACTTTTTCAAACTTCTGCAACAACGGTTGCGCACCTGCCAGGGCCATCATCCCTGTCAAATAATACCATGCGGGACACATTCGTTTTTTCTTCGCGCGCGCACGCCGTCGTCGTCGGCCGCGGGGCCCTGAATAGTAGCCACGGTCGTCCGCATGCCACGAAGTGAAGTGTCCGAACGTCATAGGGCGGGAAGCTGGGTGTGGGTGGTGGCGAAGAGTCGTTTGGAAATTTGGTAGAGCTTGAACCGGCCCCCCCACAAAGTGGGGGTATTGCCCGCCTCCTATGAAAACCCTGGCACTGGTGAGAACGGAGTGTCCCCACGTGCTAGTAATTGTTGTTGTTGTTGTTGTTGTTGTTGTAGTAGTAGTTCGGGGGCCAACAACACAGTTTGACCCGAGTGATTTTCCCGGATACCAAAAAAGCAGGGCGCGAGCCCCGGTGGGAACACTTCAATGGAAAAACATACGAATCACCAGAGGGGGGATCAACAATACTTATTGCTGAATAGTGGGAACCCAACATCAGCAACAACAGTCATTCTGAGACTGTTCGCTCTGATGTGCTCGAATGTAATTCAAAAGGGATTTCCCGAACCCTCGATACCCGCCCTCTTCGACTTCGATTGTGCCCCTTTTGGGGGGTACCGCAAGTTTGCGTCGTGTCGACCGAGGCGATGGTTTTTGGCACCGCGGGAATCGTTCAACCTTGAACGGCCGGCCGTTTCCGAAACGCCACACCGTTGAACATCGATCGATTCTGGGTCGCCGTCGGCGTTCAACGTTGAGCTCCGGCGGCGGGGTCGCCGCTGGTCGACACGACACGAACCTACCGTATGTCTTTTTTCTCTGCAGGCCCGACCCTGGCAAGCGGCGGGGCGGCAACGGACCGTCGGCCTGGCTAGCGGCAGCGCCGATCGGCGGCAGCCCAGCCGCAAGAGGGACGGACAGGGGACCGACCACGACGACGACGACGACGACGACGACGACGACGACGACGACGACGACGACGGCGGCGGCGGCGGCGGCGGCGGCGGCGGCGACGACGACGACGAGCGAAAGCGAGAGCGACAGCGGGGTCACGAAGGGCAGGAAGGGGGCCACGAAGGGCGACAGCGGGGTCACGAAGGGCATGCGTATGGGGCCACGAAGGGCGCGTACGAGCGGGGGCCACGAAGGGCAGATAATGCGGGGGCCACAGAGGGCAACGACGGGGCCACTGAGGGTAGCAACGGGGCCACGTAGGACAGCGAGGGGGCCACAAAGGGCGACAGCAGGGCCATGAAGGGCATGCATCTGTGGCCACGACGGGCGCGAACGAGCGGGGGCCACGAAGTCCATACGTATATTGGGCCGCAGAAGGCAAGGGCGGGGCCACTGAGGGCAGCAACGGGGCCACGAAGGGCAGCAAGGGGGCCACGAAGGGTGACAGACAGCGGGGCCGCGAAACGCATGCATATGGGGCCACGAAGGGCGCGAACGAGCGGGGGCCACGAAGGGCATATATGCCACGAAGGGCAGCGAGGGGGCCACAAAGGGCAGCGAGGGGGCCACGAAGGGCTGCAACGGGGCCACGAAGGGCAGCGAGGGGGCCACGAAGGGTTGCAACGGGGCCACGAAGCGCAGCGAGGGGGCCACGAAGGGCTGCAACGGGGCCACGAAGGGCAGCGAGGGGGCCACGAAGGGATGCAACGGGGCCACGAACGGCAGCGAGGGGGCCACGAAGGGTTGCAAAGGGGCCACGAAGCGCAGCGAGGGGGCCACGAAGGGCTGCAACGGGGCCACGAAGGGCAGCGAGGGGGCCACGAAGGGATGCAACGGGGCCACGAAGGGCAGCGAGGGGGCCATGCAACGGGTCCACGAAGGGCAGCGAGGGGGCCACGACGGGCTGCAACGGGGCCACGAAAGGCAGCGAGGGGGCCACGAAGGGCTGCAACGGGGCCACGGAGGGCAGCGAGGAGGGGGCTACGAAGGGCTGCAGCGGGGCCACGAAGGGCAGCGAGATCCCGATTCCTAAGTCAGTTGTGAGGGAGTCCTCAGCGTGAGCGCGACTCCTGGGTGCCTGAGTGTCGGGAGCGCGGCGCTTGAGTGAATTGTAAGGAATTCCAGCGCAAGAGCGCGATTCTGTAGTAAATTGCAAGCGAGTCTCCAGCGAGAGCGCGACTCCAGAGCGCCGAGAAAACGATTCCTGAATTCGTTGTGAGTAAGTCCCAAGCCAGAACGCCATTCCTGAGTAAGATGCGAGGAAGTCTCAAGCAGGAGCGGGGGTCCTCGCTAACTTGTGAAGAAGTCGGAGGCGGGAGCCGTTGTTGTTGTAATCCGGGGCCCAGGGGCGCAGTTTGAGCCCAGCGACCTGCCCTGGTGAAAAACAGGGTGCGAGCCCCGGGGGAAGCACTTCAATGGAAAACATTGGCGCCGGTGGGGGTGCTCAACAATAACTAATCTTCAATCGTGAGTTCAACAGCAGCGGCTCCCGCCTGATACTTCCTCACAATGTATTGCAAATTCGCACTCTCGCGTGGGACTTCCTCATACTGTATCCAGGAGTCGCGCTCTCGTGTGGTGCTCCCTCGCAAGGTATAGCGGCGCCGTGCCCCGAAGTCTAACAAATCACGCTCTCGCTGTGGATTTCCTGACGATTTACTTGGGAATCGCGTTGTTGTTCGGAACTTCTTTCATGATGGGCTGACGCTTTAGCGACCCCGATCTGCCCGTTAGGGCCCGCCCGCCCGACTCGCCAGGCTGGTTCCGCCGCTTGTGTCGCTGCTGCTCCTGACCACCCTCTTGCAAACTTCTCTCGTGCTCCATCCTTATCCCTCCCCCTTGTCTGTTCACTCCTCCCCTCCTTCCTTTGTTTTAACTACACGCGGCAGGTAGGTAACATATACCCGCAAGAGGGGGTACGCTCGAAGAGGACGAGAACGAGTACCGAGGGCTTGGGACATACGTATTGAATGGCACGCGAACAGATAAGAGCGAACAGTCTTAAACTACATGTTGTTGCTGCTGTTGTTGTTAGTGTTGTTGTTGTAGTGGCTGTTGTTGTTCATGCTGGTATCGTCGTCGTCGTTGTTGTTGTTCTTGTTGGTTTTGGTGTTGTTGTTGCTGCTGCTGTTGTTGCTGTTGTTGTTGCTGTTGTTTGTGCTGTTTTTGTTGTTAGTGTTATGGTTGTTGTTGTTGCTGCTGCCGCTTTTGTTGTTATTGTTGTCGTTGTTGTTTGGCTTTGTTGCTGTTGCTGGTGGTATGCGTAGTTTCATTGCAAAGTGCACTTTATAATGTCGTGCTGATTTGTCGTTTTGTTTGTGAATGCGGTTGTCTTTAACCAACTATGCTTGTGCTTTTAATCTGTTCTGGCGGGCCTGGATCTCGGCCGTCCAGAGCATCCTCATGTTGAGGTCGATGAGCCCGACGATCTCGGGGTCGCACACCTTCATGCTGGCCTCGCGCTCCGAGACCGGGAGCGCCGCCCATGCCGACCGGACCTTTGGAGGCATCCTGGATGGAATCGAAGTACAGTGGAGGCCAGTCCACAAGAAACCGTCCACAAGAAACTCAACCCTGAGACCCCAGGACGTCCATCGAGTTTTGGTATGGAAACGTCACGCTTTCAATAGCAGAACTATCAAAAACCAAAAACCCAGAGCACCCTGGGGGCGAGCAGGGTGTTTCTTGGCATGGGTCTCCGCTGTGCAGTCATCGTGCTACCACGAGGAATGCTAAATCAGGGACGAACGGGCTTTGCTGGCCACGGCCAGCCTCGGTCACCAAACAGGTGCCCCGACCTAGATTCAAGTAACGGCCCGAAGACCAGGTCCTTATTTCAGTGGTGTGACTGTAGGTGGAGTCGGAGGATCTTGCCGCATCGGCGATGCATCGGTGACGTCGGCGATGCAGCGCCGACGTCCTCCCTGAGAAGATCGGGCTCCACATCGAACCGGATCGCCGATGCATCGGCGATGCGGCGCGATCCTCTGGCCCCACTTACTCGGATTCCATCTGGGAGGACTACCTGCTCATCCATCTGCGGCGCTCCCGCCAACGCTCGAGATGGCGGCGGCGCGCCCGCGAGCGCCCCCCCCTGCCCACGGGCGGGGCTCGCTGAGGCCGCGCATGCCACGACTAGCGGCTGGAGCCCAAACGGCTAGGCCTCTGTGCGGGGACCCCGTCGCCAGCGCAGAGGGCCGTTGGGGCGCGGGTGCTTCCCGCCCGATCAGAGCCAGGCCCACCACCAGCTCATGAGCGGTTCGCGATCAAGCGAAATGCGATTCGCACAAGGCCCGCGTTCGGCTCGCAACTGCTTCGCCTCGGACTGGCATTCGGGCTCGAAGTGGCCCTCAGCGGGCCCCCCAACCGGATTCTCAATCGCACGGCGCCTCGTGCACATTCCGTTGCAGCCTGCTTCATGCTCGGATCACCCTAGATTCAAAATCTTATGGATGATTCAACTCTGACTTGGATCCGAATCACGTCTGCTTCGCGTACACGATTCGGGATTGCCGAAATTCCCCAGCAGTGCTTACCCAAGGGGCTCTCACGGTCGGGAACAATCTCTCGGCGTCTCGCGGCGGCGGCCCTGGCGACATGCCATGCCCCGCCAATGGATGGCATGTCCCTCTGCTCCGCGGGGCGGGAGGTCGGGAAAAGCTCGGGGACTCGGGGGAGGAGGAGGAGGAGGACGAGGAGCAGGAGGACGAGGAGGAGGAGGAGGAGGAGGAGGAGGAGGAGGAGGAGGAGGAGGAGGAGGAGGAGGGAGGAGGAGGAGGAGGAGGAGGAGGAAGGAGGCAGGAGGAGGAGGAGGAGGAGAGGAGGAGGGAGGAGGAGGAGGAGGAGGAGGAGGAGGAGGAGGAGGAGCAGGAGGAGCAGGAGGAGGAGGAGGAGGAGGAGGAGGAGGAGGAGGAGGAGGAGGAGGAGGAGGAGGAGGAGGAGGAGGAGCAGGAGGAGCAGGAGGAGGAGGAGGAGGAGGAGGAGGAGGAGGAGGAGGAGGAGCAGGAGCAGGAGGAGGAGGAGGAGGAGGAGGAGGAGGAGGAGGAGGAGGAGGAGGAGGACGTGGACAGCGTGTCGCGCCGAAGCGCGGTGGGCCAGAAGCCGCGGGCGCGACACTGGCCGGCCGTTCCGGGGCTCTCGCCCAGTGCCCGCTCCCGTGGGCAGGCCGGCGGCTCCAGGCTTCTTGCCTGGTGCGCGCGGGTGCCCGCCCCGTGGCCGCCTGGCGCGCTGGCTGGCGCTGCACGGACTGCACGCCATGGACTGCACCACACGGGCTGGGTCCCATAGATTGCGCCACCGGATTGCATCCCACCTGCACCAGAGATGCTGCACACCGAGGGTGCACGAACCTCTACTACTTGTGGTCCACGCCGACACTGCCCCAAGACAGCCCAAGAGTGCCCCAAGGGACCCCGAAGACTGCCCCAGAGGAACCCAAGACAGCCTGAAGACGGCCCGAATGAGCACCACGAGGGCTCCTCAAGATGTGAAGACGGCAATGTCACATGTGTCGACCTTGCTCTTCCTCCTCTTCGATCACCTCCTCCTCCCCTCCTCCTCCTCCTCCTCCTCCTCCGCCTCCTCCTCCTCCTCCTCCTCGTCCACATCGTCATTACCATGGTGTTCCACATCGCACTCGTCCGCACTACAATGCTTCTCCTCTATTTGCTGCCCGTCGTCGTCGTCGTCGTCCTCCTCCTCCTCCTCCTCCTCTCCAACCCCCTCCTCATCATTGTTTCCTTCACTCTTTCTTCGCCCAGGACGATCTCAAATGGTCCAATGCGCCACCGTGCCTTTTGCACGTTGGAAGCCGAGAAACCAAGGAAGGACAGCCCGGGGGTCGAAACCATCAGTCCGCTGGATGTCTGGGGATCCTCCCGCCCTCTTCCACTCTGCAGCGTCTGGGATCGCCACCGCTGCCGCCCGCAGGGGAGGCAAGCGCGGGCCTGACGGTGCCGGCGCCGGCGTGTCGAGCGCCCTGCGGGGGCCGCGCAAGAGGGCAGCTCCGTCCAAGAGTGCGAGCCCAGCGAGGCTGTTGGGCCGTGTCGAGCACGAACCTCGCTCCCTCCTCTCGCCCTTCTCTTCCCCTACCTCCACCTGCCTCCTCTGCCCCCTTGCCACCCCCCTCCCAGTCCTCCGCCTCTCCCTCCTCGGCCTCCTCCACCTCCCCCTGGGCCCTGACGAGGGGCTTGGCGGCGGCAGTGGCAGTGGCGAAACCCGCCCAGGATTCGTTTTCAGGCTTGGGGGTGCACGCCCGGCTTGTCTGGCTGCCTCGGGGGTGGGGTGGGGGGGGGCTGTGCTCAGGATAGGCTGCAGCACCGCTCAACGGTGTGCTGTTTACCGAGCCTGCAGGGTGGGTCTCTTCCTTTTCTGTGCGCTTCAGCTCTGGCTTCGGCTTCCTGGTCCACTCCAGAACGCCTTCGGGCCAGCTCAACCGAGTCGACTTTCCGCTCGCACCGGTGCCTCACTTCCTCTCCTCCTCCACCTGCCTTTTCTGCCCCCCTCGTCGTTCCCTCCTACACCTTCTTCTCCTCCTCCTCCTCCTCCTCCTCCTCCTCCTCCTCTTCGTCCCCTTCCTCCTCCGTGTCCTACTCCTCCTCCTTCTCCTCCTCCTCCTCCTCCTCCTCCTCGTCCTCGTCCTCCTCATTCTTCTTCCTCTCCCCGTGCTCCTCCTGTCCCTCCTCTTTCTTGACTAAACCCCTCCTCCTCCCAACCTCCTCTTACCATCCTTCTCCTTTGCCTCGTTCTTCGCTTCCTCTTCTTCTTCTTCTCCCTCCTCCTCCTCCTCTTCCCTCCTCTTCCTCCTCCTCCCCCCTCCTCTCCTCCTCCTCCTCCTCCTCTCTTCGCCTACTCCTCCGCCTTCCCCTCCCCCTTATCCTTGGTTCCCATATTCTCCTGCTCGTGCTCGCGCTCCCCCTCCCTACCCGTCCTCCGCCTCCTCCTCCTCCTCCTCCTCACTCCTCCTCCTCCTCCTCCTCCTCCTCCTCCTCCTCCTCCCTCCTCCCTCCTCGTACTCCTGAATCTGCTCCTCATCCTCCCTGCGGGTTCTCCTCCTCTTCCTCCTCAGTCTCCTCCTCGTCTTTCTCCTTCGACATCGTACTCCTGTCCCTTCCTTCTCTTCCAACTCCTCCTCCTTCTCCCTCCCATTCCCTCCCCCAGCTGAACATATAGCTAAGGTCTTGCCCCTCGAGGCCAGTAGCTGTTAGGTGGTTGGGCCCAGCCCGACCTGTGCCGAGATGGGGATAATGCCGCTGAGGACCGTGCCCAGCAGCAAATGTTGTGAGAAATCGGCGTTGGCGTCGGCTGCGCAGGCAGCGAACACTGCTGACGGCGCCCATCCTTGACGCCGACCGCGCGAATGAACAGGAGGCCAGTGCCTCCCCTGCTTTTTTTGTGTGAGTCGCACGCCCAGGGCACCGCTCTGAACCTCACCCTCAGCTCGTCCGCCGCGGGTGCAGCCACCGTGCTCTCGGAGGGAACGCCGCACGAGGCAGGGGCTTCTCTGACCACGGCGGGTCTTGGCCACGAAGGGGCCCCCTGGCCTACATCTGAGGAGCGTCCCTCAGCCCCGAGCCCCCCCCCCCCTCGGAGCCCCAACTGGTCCTCACTTCAGCGTCTCGGCCGTGCCTCGCTGCAGGCCCCCGGGCCCGAGAACGCCCCCCCCCCCCCCCCCCCGCCGAAATCGCGGAGCGGCCACGGTGCGCTGCCTTCTGCCCTGCGACGCTGGATGTGTAGGAGCGGTACCCATCTGCGACAACATCTGGCGTCGTGAAGCTCTGTCGTGAAACTCCGTCGTGAAACCTGCGTCGTGAAACTCCGTCGTGAAACTCCGTCGTGAAATGCACGAACAATAGTAATACTATGATACTACAACTATTACTCGTACTTCCCATACTAATAATAGGATTGACACTCAACTTAATGGTCCTACTAAAACTCATGTTACCAATATTACGACCCATACCATTATTAGACGTAGTAGTAGAAGTAATAGTAGTAGTAGAAGTAGTCGTAGTAGTAGTAGTAGTAGTAGTAGTAGTAGTAGTAGTAGTAGTAGTAGTAGTAGTAGTAGTAGTAGTAGTAGTAGTAGTAGTAGTAGTAGTAGTAGTAGTAGTAGTAGTAGTAGTAGTAGTAGTAGTAGTAGTAGTAGTATAGTAGTAGTAGTAGTAGTAGTAGTAGTAGTAGTAGTAGTAGTAGTAGTAGTAGTAGTATCAGCGGTGGACAAACCTCCCTTTAGTAAACCTCCCCTTAATGAAAACGGCCTGGGACCGACACCGACGGACCTGGACCCGCAAAAATGATGGCCGTGACGCCCTCTCGACCGAGAACGGCCAATTCCTTAATCGACGTGTCAGGGTAGGAGGTCTATCAACCTCCCATCGTAGTAGTAGTAGTAGTAGTAGTAGTAGTAGTAGTAGTAGTAGTCGTAGTAGTAGTAGTAGTAGTAGTAGTAGTAGTAGTAGTAGTAGTAGTAGTAGTAGTAGTAGTAGTAGTAGTAGTAGTAGTAGTAGTAGAGTAGTAGTAGTAGTAGTAGTAGTAGTAGTAGTAGTAGTAGTAGTAGTAGTAGTAGTAGTAGTAGTAGTAGTAGTAGTAGTAGTAGTAGTAGTAGTAGTATCAGCGGTGGACAATTCTCCCTTTAGTAAACCTCCCCTTAATGAAAACGGCCTGGGACCGACACCGACGGACCTGGAGCCGCAAAACTGATGGCCGTGACGCCCTCTCGTGAACCGAGAACGGCCAATTCCTTAATCGACGTGTCAGGGTAGGAGGTCTATCAACCTCCCATCGTAGTAGTAGTAGTAGTAGTAGTAGTAGTAGTAGTAGCTGTAGTAGTAATAGTAGTAGTAGTAGTAGTAGTAGCAGTAGTAGTAGTAGTAGTAGTAGTAGTAGTAGCAGCAGTAGCAGTAGCAGTAGCAGTAGCAGTAGTAGTAGTAGTAGTAGTAGTAGCAGCAGTAGTAGTAGTAGTAGTAGTAGTAGTAGTAGTAGTAGTAGTAGTAGTAGTAGTAGTAGTAGTAGTAGCACTGGTAATAATACGAACAAGATTGCTCATGCTACTACTAACAACATACTAATCCTACTCATGATACCACTACTATTATCAATATTAGTACTACCAATATTAATAATCAGTACGGTACTAATATTAACACTACGAGTAATACTAGGAACACACATATAATGATACTGTTAATATTAATCATACTACAACTAACATTAACAATACTATCAGCCAGCGTTGACTCCAAATTACAGGAGGACAGGAGGAGGACGAAAGGAGGATGGGAGGAGGACGAAAGGAGGACGGGAGCAGGACGGGAGGAGAACGGGAGGAGCAAAATCAAGCAAGCGCATACAAGCAAGCGGAAGCAAGCAAGCGCAAGCGAGCAATAAAAAGCAAGCAACATCCATCGCTCAAGTGCAGGCAAGCAAGGGCAAGCAAGAGCAAGCAAGCGAGAGCAAGCAGGCAAGAGCAAGCAAGCAAGTGCCATTGGAAAAGGGGGGGCGGTGTCATTGGAAAAAGAAGGAGGGGATCCTAAAGACAAATTGCGTATGATGAGCTAGGACTCCTATAGGGCAAGCCTCTTCGCAGAATAGTATGACTACCGATGCTATCATTATTGCTATTCTTACTCTTGATGCTGAGAATCGTTAGCGCCATACACACAACCTCCCGAACGTTCGCGCGGACCTCCCGGATCGGCGCTGGAGCCCCCCCTCCCTGGCGCGGGGAGCACGCCCGGCGAGCCCAGCGCCGATCCAAGACGGCCGCGCGGAGCTCCAGCAACTCGTGCTCATAGGGGGAAAACAAACCTACCTCGCTTTTGACCACCCTCGCCTCCAAGAGATACCAAGCGATGCCAAACTACGGCCTGTACTGGTCAGGTCGCTTGACGAGGAGGCGCGTGGTATGACTTGGTTTTTCCTGGAAGCGAAAGCTGGGTAGGGAATTCACGCTCTGAGCTCAGGCCGCTCTCCTCCTTCGAGCCGTGGGCCCCTGGCCGCGTCGGGCCCCATCCTCCCTCCGCGGCGCGGGGCCCCCGGGCGGGAGGCCTCCCAGCTGCGGTGCGGGCGGATGGCGCCCGAGGAAGCCGCGCCACGCCACCGAGGCATCGCGGATGCGTCGGCGACGTCGGCGACGCCTCGGCGACGCCTCGGCGTGGAGAGCATCGGGCTCCGCATGGAGCTCGTTTTCCCAGCGCCTCCCGGTGCCGGAGGCACCAACGTATCGAGGAAAGCGCCTGGCGCCGGGGGCGAAACCAGCTGCACGCAGCAGATCTCGGAATCCTCCCTTTCCCCTGTACCCCCCGTCCGTCCGACTCGAGAGTCAATCCGGCCGTGGCGAGCCCTGAGCTTCTGCGCCCCGGAAAGTTTTGCAGCATCCGGGGAATTCCTGACCGCGGCCCTCGACCTCATCTTTTTGGAGGAGGACGAAGAGAAGGAGGAGGAGGGAGAGGAGGAGGAGGAAGAGGAGGAGGAGGAGAAGGAGGAGGAGGACGAAGAGGAGGAGGAGAAGGAGGAGGAGGAGGAGGAGGAGAAGGAGGAGGAGGAGGAGGAAAAGGAGGAGGAGGAGGAGGATGATGATGAGGAGGAGGAGGAGGAGGAGGAGGGCGAGCGAGCGAGCGACCCCGGCAGCAGTTCGGCGTCAGCGCATGGAGCACGGGCCTGGGAACGTCAGGAGCAGTCAGGAGAAGGAAAGCAGCGGGACGAAGGGTGAGGAGGTGGAGGGGTCAGGCGGGGTAGGGTGATCGTTCTGGACTCTTCGGCCCCTGTGCGGGGCGTCTGGCGGCTGGCGGGCCTGTGGACGGCCGAGAACCAGCCCGCGGCATCGGCGGCGCGGGGCGCGGCGGCGGCGGCGTCCTGAAGGCTGCAGACCGTCGTCGTTGTCGTCGTCGTCGTCGTCGTCGTCGTCGTCGTCGTCGTTCGGTCGTGCTTGTCGTTCGGTCGTGGTCGTGGTCGTGGTGGTGGTGGTGGTCGTCGTGGTCGATGGTGGTGGTCGAAGTCGTCGTCGGTGCGTCGTGGTCCTTGTCGTGGTCGTCGTCGCCGCGGCCGTCACCGCAACCGTCGTTGTCGCAGTCGTGATGGTCGTCGCCGTCCCCCCTAAAAGTTGTCCCGTGGCCATTTCCTGGAGCTCATTCCGATCACAAGCTCCTGTCGGTCCCAGCCGTGGCGACGAGGGCCACCCCAAAAGAGGCCGAGAAGGGCCAAGAAAGTGTAAGTTGCTGCCGTGGCCGTCGCCGCCGAGGCCTCCTCTCCGTCGAGCTCCCCGTCGCTGCCGTCGCCGCCGCCGCCGCGGCCGTCGCCGTTGCTGTCTGCGTCGTCGCCGTTGCCTCCGCTGCTTTCAGCGCCGCCGCCGCAACCGCGGCCGTCGGCATCGCCTGCGGCAGCGGCACCGCCGTCGCCGTTTGCGTCGTCGCCGTCCCCGCCACCGGCAGAGCTGGCGCCGTCGCCGCCGTCGCCGTCGGCCGCAGCCAACGGCGGTGTCGCCGCCGCCAGCGGCAGCGCTGGGAAGTGAGCGGCGTCCTGCGGCCGCACGTGGGCGCCGGGGCGCTCGTCGGGGCGCTCGTCGGGCGCTGGGGTCTCGTGGCGCGCGGGTGGGGGGTGGGGAGGCCTTCTGCCTCCTCGTCAGCCGCCTTTCCTCACAAAGCCTCTTCCTCCTCCTCCGCCTCTTCTCCCATCCATGTTCCTTATGAATAACTGCTCCCCGTCACACTCCGAGGCGTCGGTGGGGCGGGCTGGGCGCTTCGCCGGAGATTCCCTCATCGTTTATGCTTCTGAAGTTTAAGCAATGGCAGCAGTTTCACGGACGGGGGGCGGGCCGCTTTCAAGATATGGCTCTCGCCTAAGCGCCGCGCGTATTCGTTTTAAACCTGTGCACGAGCTTCACGGATGGAGTGAGGGCGGTCCGCGTTCAAAACTTGGCTATCGCGGTAGCGCCGCGCACATTCCTTTCTGAACATGTGCAAGAGTTTCACGGACGGGGGGCGGGCCACTTTCAAGATATGGCTCTCGCCTGAGCGCCGCGCGCATTCGTTTTAAACCTGTGCACGAGTTTCACGGATGGAGTGAGGGCGGTCCGCGTTCAAAACTTGGCTATCGCGGTAGCGCCGCGCACATTCCTCTCTGAACATGTGCAAGAGTTTCACGGACGGGGGGGCGGGCCGCTTTCAAGATATGGCTCTCGCCTGAGCGCCGCGCGCATTCGCTTTAAACCTGTGCACGAGTTTCACGGATGGAGTGTGGGCGGTCCGCGTTCAAAACTTGGCTCTCGCGGTAGCGCCGGGCACACTCGTTGTGATTACTCCGACGGTAGGACCCTGCATGATAATCTGTTTAGCTTGCCCTTAACCCGTTCCTTCTCGCCCTGGCGGGCACCCTCCTCTCGCCCTCTGCTCTGCTATCTCCTCCTCTGCCTCCGTCTGTGTGTACTCCTCCTCTTCCTCTTCCTCCTCCTCCTCCTCCTCCACCTCCTCCTCATCATCGCCCTCCCCCTGCCCCTTTCCCACCTCTTCATCCTCCTCCTGCCTCTTCTCCATGTGCACCTCCCCTTCCTCCTGGGGTAAGCAAGTCGATTTTCCTCGGCACCGTGGCCGCCTCGGCCCCGCGCGCGTTCGCCGACGGCTCGATCGCGAAGAATTTTGGGCAATCCCGCGGGCCATGCCTTTGGGACAACCTCGCGGGCCGCTGGCCCCGCGGGCCTCGAGGTCGGCGCGGTCGCACTCAGGCGGGGGGCAGCGCGAAACCCAGCCGTGCCGCGAGCTGCTCAGCCTCGATTCTGGCGCTCTCCGCTCGGAGGCAAGGGTTCCCCCCTGCGCCCGACTCGGCTGACGATGGGTTACCACCGCCAGCGCCCGGAGACAAGGGTTCCCCCCTGCCCCGGATTCTGCTGACGATGGGTTACCACCTCCAGCCTAGACGCAAAAGTTTCCCCTGCGCCTGGCCGCCGTCGTCCTCCTCAATTCCTGTTCCTCCTCTTCATCCTCATCTGATGGGTCGAGCGAGTGGCCTTCTTAAGAACACAAAAGCGATCCCGCTCGGATTGGCCCGCGAGGACTCGCATCATCCTTCGTTCCTGAAGAGCCCATCAGTGACGACAGCTACGAGATCCCGAGGGCTCGCTCGGATTCTAACATGGAGCTGCGGGCCCCATGGCGAGGGGGCCTCCCGCTCGAGACTTCCTCGCGACTCGCTCACAGACGAGGCTCCCGCCTGAGACTTTCTCAATATTCAAGCCTGACTGGGGAACCCACAATTGGCAACAAGTCTAGGCTTCGCACGACCCGCTCTAATTCTCAATATGCAGCGCGGGCTCCATAGGGAGGGGGCTCCCGCCTCAGACTTCCTCACAATTCACTCGCAGATGAGGCTCCCGCCTGAGGCTTCTTCAAAAATTCAAGAGGTGGGGGGCCAAAAGACGACAGATACAGGATTTGGATGACCCGCTCCGATTGCCAATGTGAAATGCAGGCCCCATAGGGAGGGGCCCTTCGCCTGAGACGTACCCACAATTCACTCACAGTCGAGGCTCCCGCCCTAGCCTTCCTCAAGATGGATGTATGAGTGTGTGACTGTGTGAATGTGTGAGCGTGTGTGAGCGTGTGTGTGTGTGTGAATGAGTGTGGGAGTGATGTCGATGATGATGATGGTGATGATGATGAGTGGGTGATTGAGTGAATGAGGGACTGAGTGGTGATGACGCTGCTGCTGATGATGATGCGTGTGAGTGTGTGTGTGAGTGACGAAGAGAGGGGGTGATGATACTGCTGATGATGATGGTGATGGTGATGACGATGATGCTGATGATGTGGGTGGGTTCTTGTTCCTGTTCCTGCGCGGGGTGTCCAGAGAAAACAGGAACTCCACTTAGGATGTGGGGATACTTGCAAGAGATTTGCGGATGGAAGGCGGTTCCTTTTTCCAATGTGGCTCTCCACCTAGCACCCCGCACATTCGTTTTTAGCATTGCCAGCAGTTTCAAACATGATCACGGTTAACGTCCCAAGAATGGTGTTTGGCACGATGTAGGACTGTCAGGGTGCAACAGTTGCGCTGACTCGCGGTGTTGAAGTCCCAGGAATGGTGGTTCGATTCAGGATCGTCCAGACGCAACAGTAGGGGTGATTCGCGGCGTTGAAAGTCCCTGGGGCGGTGTCTGGCACAGTTCGGTTTTTTTCAAACGATTGTCTTCACATTGGGCTTATCTCTAATTGAAAATCAATTATTGTACGGGCCTGTGATGCAGGATCGATAATGAGATCGAAGGCGAGATTGACGGTGATATTCACAGTGACATCGGTTGTGAGGTCTATAGTGAAATCAATCGAAGGTGATCGACCCTGTGAGGTCGATCGTTGGAGCGATCGCGTGAAATACAATGCGGGACGGTAGTGACATTACATCGCAGTTCAACCTCGTCACCACGCGTCGTCGCTAACTCGAGGGCGCGTCACCCGCATCGTCATCATCACATCCATCGCATTTGCCAGCACTTGCTTTCCACCCCCACCCCCCAACCTCCTCATCACCCGAAGAAACGTCGTACAGGTCGTTGATGAATCTTGGGTTTACTCTGGTCTTCCTCCTCCTCCTCCTCTTCCTCCTCTTCCTCCTCTTTTTCCAAGTTTGGCCAGACTAGACGCACCGAACCTCGCAACGTTCCTCCTCCTCCTCCTCCTC